TGATGGTTTTGACCACACGCCTACGCCTTTGAATGTCAACATGTATACAGAGTTAACACATAATCTTACAATCTACTTTTATAAGCCCTCGACAATACTAGGAGCCATTTAGTTATGATACTACAACCACCAGACCTTTTCGTAGCATGGACAGGGTTGGAAGAGCTCGGGATACTTGGTTGAGATTGCTACGACGATGTTCAATGTCAGAGTAGAGATCACAAACCATAGCGATGAGAGGAAGAGATGATGTCAAAGAGTCAAAGGGAATTTCGTGTCATTCTATCTACTCCCTGGTGCGTCAGTACCGGCCTGACCACCACCTACCACCCAACTATCATACACCGCCCACCACCCGTACAGACCCGAACAGAACATGAGAAGCCCCCCACAGACAAAAAGAAAACCACCCCCCGTTATTCAAACTTTCCGCCAAAGTAATCCTCCGCCTTTATCAAGGCGTCGCTCAGCCTGTCGAGCCCCTCCGCCGGCATCTGTTGTGCCATCGCCACACCATGCACGTCCACCAGCTGTGCCTTCGCATACCTCACCGCCCTCGCCCAACTCCTGACTCCGCCATGGTGGTAGTCATCCCAGGTCTTCTGACCCGCATACCCGACGAACCCCTCCACCACTTCGCTGACCTTGTCCAACGCGTCAACAAGGCAAGACAACGCCGGAGACCCGCCAGCGGGTTGCGACATGTCAGAGCCGAGTTGCCAGCGAAGGACGTTGACAAGGTCGCGCAAGTCGTTCTTGCGCACACCAAGCAGGTCAGAGAAGGAGGCGAGGGGCCAGCCAGGTACGTAGCGAGTCATCGACAGGGATTCGGCGTTGTTGAAGGCAAACAACGAGGCGATGTCAGTGATGGGGATATCGAGGTCGGCGGGCGTCTCGGCCAGCGATCTGGCGTCGACTTGCTCGGCAGTGAGCATGGGTTTCGCGGCGGTGGCGGCGGCGGCGGGGCGGGGAGCAACTGGGCGGCGACCAGCGCGCGCACCAGTGCGGGGAGGAGGTCGAGGAATGGTGGTGGTGAGGACGGCCCGGCGGCCGGAGGGGTCGTAGAGAGGGGCCTCAGCCCCTGCTGAGGGATCGGCCGGCGGAGGGAAGGCGGTCGAGGGGAAGGACGGGCCCGGGGCAAACACCAGAGGCTGACCAGTAGCCACTGGTGCCGCATCTTCCAGGGAAGGAGGAGGAGGGGCCACGACCGCCGGAGCCGAAGAGGGAGGGGGAGGGAGAGAATGTGGTGCTGCTGCCACCGGAGGATGAGGAGGAGGAGAAGGAGGGGAGGGGGGAGGAGCCGTCGAAGGCGCTTGCCCCAGAGAACCCGGTGCCAAAGCGTTCCCAATGGAAGAGGCCGCCAGCGGCATTCCAACGGTAGGCAGTGGCTGGTAAACGGGAACTGCTGGGACAAACGACAACGACGGGATGCCGGCGAGCATGTCCAGAACGGAGCGAGTCGGAGGCGGAGAAAGAGAAACTGGGGCAGCAGCAACCACAGGAGGAGGTCGAGAGAGGACAGGAGCCGGAACAGGAGCCGGAACAGGAGTGGGAGTCTTAGGGATTGGGCCACGCCCAGCAGCGGGATCGACAACCGGAACAGCGCCTGCACGCCTCCGTGGATCACACAACGGCCCCATGCCCTTCTCCGCCAACGCCCTCATTTCAGTCAGCTTCTCTGGTGCCAATGCCTTCCACACCCACCCATTGTGGGGGTCAAACACACGCCTCATGGTACCGAAACGCTCCTCCCACTCGACATCCACAAACGTGTCGAACTTGTCCTTGGCCAACACGACTGGCGTGTCGACCGCAAACGCAGAAACGGCAGGAGATAGGAAGGTGGGAGGCAGCGGAGGTGCAGGGGAGGCGGGAACACGGGAGCGGGAGCGAGACAATTGACGCCGGAGTCGCCGATTGAGACGAGGTGGAGACGGATTGGGGACATGGGGTGGCGAGAGAGGGTAATGGCCGGGGGGATGAGGAAAGGCATGCGGACTTGCCGCCAAGTCGACGTCGAAGTCGACGGGGATCGTGAAGGCGTCCTGTTCCACCAGGAGCCACCCCAGGAGGATGAAGACGAGAAAGAGGAAGAGGAGGTCGGTCATCTTTGGTATTTGCTTTGGAAAGTCTTCGCAATAGGTAAATGTGATGGATCTAAAGAGCAAAGGAGGATCGGAGGGCGGCAGGCTTTTTATGTGCAGGCTTGCTGCTTTGCAAGGCACATTAGCTGCAATTGCTATTGTCTTCACCGTGAATAGTAAGATTACAGATTAGCAGGTGACAATAGTACGCGACGAGGTGAAGGTGGGTATAATAAGTCTTGGCGGCGACAGCACCTACAGAATACTATTGCGAGAATCTATAATGGTACCACGGTGACCTCAGCGACTATACTGGAGCATACAGAGTAATAATGTATTATGGGTATAATCTACTAACCTATTCCTTACTCTTGAATACGCGGTGACGGGCAAGCAGTTGCGAGATCATGAAGTGAGAGACGTCTTCATCAGCCCAATACGTCATGTGGCTCGCGAGACTTGCAAGCAGCGATATGTCAAATGCCTGTACGCTCGTCAGTATCGGTGTCAAATTGTGGGAGGGATGGGCTTACGCCTTCTTGTATACTATAGTCAACACGACCGTTCGAGTTCAAGCCCCTGACCTTTGCCTCTTCCTTCTTGAGCTGACGGCTTCGTTCCTCCAGCTCCTGCCACTCGAGATCTTTGACTACGTCTCTTATGCCATCTTCACTTTGTTGACTCGCCCTGCGCTTTTGGAATCCTGCAAACAGTGTCTCGATCTCCGACTCAATCAGCGTGGGGGGATGTTCGCCGTCTTCACCTTCAGCAATCTTCTCTTGGCCCAATCGCCTTCGCCGCTCTTCACTGATGAACGCACTAGTAGGCTCATTGAGACCTGGCACTATACCGAGACCAGAGCTTGGACCTGTGGACAGTGGTCGTGAGGTGCGTTGACCGGGCGTACCGGTATTTGCGCCAGCCATGTCAGCCCCGGAGATTCCCAGACTTCGGTTCAGTAGACCACTAGCAATGCCGGAGCCGAGAGAGCTCCAGAAGTCGGTAACACCTTGCCCGACTCGTGCGCCGATACCGGTGAGGCCCTGTGATGCTGGCGCGCCAAAGATGCCCTTTTTCGTGTAGGGTAGAGGCTGTGCTTTGAGTGAAGACATGGCAGGTGAGATGAGTGGTTCCATACGGTAGCTTATAGGATCGGTGGGGTGGAAGATGTTGAACACCTGTTTACACAGAGGTGAAGAAGTAGTAATATTGAATGCATTATCTTGCTCATCCGGGGTCGAGAATGGATCGTCGATTGCGCAGCCGGGCGTCTTGGCTGGGTTGAAGGTGGTGGATGGCCTCGCAGCAATGGTGCGACCCTTTAGCATCTGGAATAGACCGATTGGCGAACCCAGGGCATAGAAGTCTTCTACCTCAAAGTCGAGCTTCAGGCCTTCTTCGGTGTGACGGCGGTGCCTGGTGGAATGTACATTGGGCTTGGCCTTGCTGTCTTTTTGCATACAAAGAATGTCGAACATGATGGCTGAGCCTAACGAGTGGCCTACCAAACTGACTTTACCCTTGAAGGAAGGATTGCGATCTTTGAAGAGGCGATAGGTACGATTCAATTCATTCACCACAATGCGCGAGATGTGGCCCTTGTATGCGGGGCTCTGATACAGTAGAATATCAAGAGCCAGGTCTGTGAGGAAGTTGCGCACGGCTGGGACTCCTTCAACAGTAATGTCTTCCAAATTGGGGTACTCGTGGTCATCGTGATCAAGGTCGCCGAGGTCATGCTCCTTTCGGTTGTGCTTGAGACTCTGTTTGGGAAAGTCAAGCAAGTGTCGCCAGACGATGGGTATCACCTGAATGCGGTTGTTTTTCGTCTCAGATTCAGTCTCCGAGTTCAAGGCTTGCAGATCAGGTGAAGCTGCATATACGGATTTCAATGACTTGCGGAAAGTGTTGACATCTCGAATGAAATTAATAGACTCCATGCGCATGCCAAGTCGCTGTCCTATGCCATGAGTAATGAGCAGCAGATGCTCGATCTCTCTTCCTTGATCGCCCTTGTCTTCTGCCTTATAGTCGTCACGCATCTCCTTCTCTTCGCGCTTGCGCAACTCCTCCTCTTGTTTTTTTTCATACTCGGGTTTCGAGGAAGTCATCAATTGAGAGACCTGCCGTTCTAGGTTCCGCCGCCGTGCCTGGGATGGCGATTCATCCCTGTTTTCAGCGTCGGTGCCTTCAGCATCCGATGTACCATCTGAGCTGGTAGATTTGCCATGATCAGATCCGTATGCTAAAGATGGCGTTACTGGCCGTTCGGTTTGCTTTGTGGAATCCTTGGACGCATTCGGTTGCTTTGGCTTCGCCTTGGGATCGGTATAACCTCGTATATATCTGTACCCTGCATAGTGGGCGCCTCCCGCGAATCTTTCGTATAGCGTACTTCCCATGCGCGTCCAAGCATCGTCGGTTAGCAGCCAGGCCGTCTTCTCATCCTGATAGGTTACAGTCGAGTTCATGTAGGCACCGAACAGGCGATATGTGCGGGGCGACTGTGCAGGCGCATTAGCAGTCTCTTGCGCTTCGTCTTTTGGAGTGCTTGCGCTGGGCTGCTTCATCGCTTCCTTCTTTAGACTGTCGAATGAAGATTTTGGCGTGACGGGGTTGGAAGTTGAATCTCTATTCAAGCGAGCCAGTTCTTTGCGATGATCATCGGCTCCACTGGGCCCCATAGACAACGGTCGTCCACGAGGCTGTGATGCTGAGCGTTTCTCGTCTTTCTTTTCTGCCTTGCCAAACCTCCAAGGCTTGACTTTCAAGTATCCCTCTTCCAGCTGTATGGCCAGACTCTCGTCTACCGCCTCGCCATCGGGTGTGAACCAGGTTCCTCGCTTGACATCATACACAGGACCCAACCAATATGAAGGTGCAAGCTCGCGGGTTTCAATGTCGACATCGAAAAGGTAGTCTTCATTGACAGGCACCTTGACAGCCTTTTTCTCTTCCGTTTTAGGCTCGTTTGGGGTTGCGGGAGTAGCAGCGCCCCTCTGCAGCTCGGCCGCATCCTCTTCCTCGGTCTGCGCCTGGAAGGCTGCCTCGATGGCGCGTGAGTCGCTCTCGCTAAAGGGAATCCACTTCTTGGGTTTGGGCAGGGCCTTGTCAGGCGTGATGGCTTGCGAGCTCAGAGGTTTTCGTTTCGGTAGCTATGTATGGAGACGGTCAGCAGCTGGGGCGGGGCAAGAGGCGTGATGCATCGAAGACTCGTACAGTAGGGACTATTGGCTACTTACGTCTATAGCATGATACCAGCGCACCACGAGTGGAGGGCAGTCCTTGGGGTAGCGCTTTGCGCTCAACGTGTTCCTCCGACGAACAAAGTGGTCCGTCCCTTGCTGTGCAGCCAACGCCCGTTCGACCTCCTTCTCTCTCATTCTCTCCCTATCAGATTCCTCTTGTATGCTTTTGGGCGTAGGTGGAGGCTTTGGTGTCACAGCACGAGAGGCCCACGGGGTCAGGTTCGACAAGAAGCCTTGCCTGTTATCGGGCGCAGACATTCTGTCAACCTTTGGGGCGTTGCCGCCGACCCGTACTTGGCTTAGCCAGGACTGTGAAGAAGATCGGGGCGCTGGTGCGACGGGTCTGGAGGTTAGCCTGCGATGACGACGGCAGGCGCGAAGTGTGGACCTGGAGAGCAACGTGGTGGGCGGTTGGGGGAGAATGAATGGTGAATTGGCTGCGCTGCAATGAACAGATCATGTACTCTACTAGGTATTGGATCCACCAGCAGTACCTAGACCGTTAGAAGGGTCGAGAGTCCGCCTGACGCAATCGACAGCGGCTCTTGGGCA